AGAGAAATTTTTATTAACAGAGATGGGTGATCCCGGGATGATCGTTTTTCTTTCCCACTTTCCCAGAAGAATATTTATGTTTCGAAACATAAACGATGAAGATATTAAAAAGTATAAATATCCAATTCCGTTCTTCGATTTATCGATACGACTTATGTCGATGATTTCCATAATTCGAGCTTTGTTAGTAAAAAAATCCCTAAAACGAACTCCTCCATTTTACTTCCAATTTACCATCGAGCATCTTCCCTTTATTCGAAAAGCCATTTTCGTGGGAGGAGATATCAGGAGGGAAAATATCGGTTGACCCGTCGTGTCATCTCACGGAAGAGAGCGAGAAAATCCGTGTACTTCGCCTTGCATAGATCCAAGAACAGATGGATCAAATTCCTAGGAGATGAGGATGTGTTTGAACAGGACATGCCTATACAACCCGCCTTCTCCTCTCTTCCCAACGTTGCTAATGGGTGTGCACACCAGATCCAAAACACACGACGCGGTTATGCTCGCCGCACACAGATAGATAGACCTTAGACCGTCACCGTCCTCGAGTATTAATGCGATAACTAACAATAACAAGGTGAATCCCTCCCCTCTCTTCATCCTCGATGGAACCCTAAGCTATGCGCCGAGAGACCAGTCTATGTATTTTCGTGATTTCCGCGATGCCTCCGGCGCGGTGGATCCCTTTATAGGTAGGGCACAACGACGCAACGAGAACTTTGATCGTCGTGTTACATTGTGGCAAACCGCCGATACGACGAACGCCGGCCCTGGATAATCCCTTTTCGAGTAGGGGCCGAAGGGTACTTTACCTCCAGCCAGGTCTGCCCTCGTTCAACAATCCCTTCTCGACGTTCTTTCTCGCCTTAGGACACTTAGGGATACGCTGTTTTACTCGGGGATTTCGGTCCTCGTTACGGTAATAGACCGGGGCACGGGTCTTCTTCTTGTTCCATGGCGAGGAAAGAGTGGGTAATATAGATAGCTAACGTTGTGTAAATTCGTAGATTTTTTTTTTTCTTTTTTTGGTTGATTTGATTGGTAACGAATTAGTTTTAATAATAAAGTAATGACAAATGCGATCCAAAGTGATCTAATGTCGTGTTGTCGGTATTTCATCTCCCTTGTAGCTCTATATGTCGATGTCTGTAAATGACTCGTGATGTCGTACGGATTAAGAACGAAGCTTTCGAGCTAATTGATATTCAACGATCAAGAGAAATATCTTATCTGGCCCCGGAATTTCAATTCTCGTTGTCCTAAACAGACTAAAAATAGCGTATAATTCCATTTCAGAACGTGAAAATAAAATCTCTGAACGAGTTTCGAATTTATCGGGCTTATATCGCGAACGATAACGAGCTAGTTCAAAGTTGAAGAGTAGCGAAATTGCCGAGGATTTTAATAAAATTATTTAACACTCTCTTGAAAAAAAAAAAAAAAACTGTCCTTATCGTCCACATTAATCGAATCGATGGCGGGAAACTTTCGAATTATGCGCGGTTGCATAAAAATTCCTCCGCACGGAAGAATATCGTGTCGCTTGTCTCGCACGCACACAATTTTAACAAAAAACCCAAATAGGAGGGGAGAAAAAAAAATTCCCTTCGAAGAAGGGGAGAGGATCGGTCAGGAAAGAAGCGTTTGATCGTTCTGTTACACTTTGGCTAACCACGACGTCAGTGAAAGAGAGAACAGAGGAAGGATAATCCTTCTTTTCCGACGAGAGATTTCGAGAGAGGGGGAGACAGAATCTTGACGAAGTCTCACCTCGAGGCAGGCAGGTGCTGCACGGAACGCGGAACGCACCCTTTTTCGGCATTCTTCGACAGTGAACGGGGAAGACGCTCTCTCTGTGACATTGTTGACCCTCTGCCACATGGCGTTTCGCATATGGCGCACGTTCTCCGTGCCGGTTATTTTTATACGGTTCTCGTTACGTTATGAAATTCAGCACGCGGTGAAGGTGGATAACACACGATGACAGATTGGAGGCTGGCCCGTTTAGAGAGAAGATTACAGCTGCGCGTATAACAACCCCCGATCGGTTCGTTAAAAATGCGGAAGGAATCGTGCGTGGTGAAAAAAGGAAAAAAGGAGACGAGACGCGTGCACGCTACGAGGATATCGTGTATCCACCAGAATTACTTATCGAAGATTATGACGAGAAAAGCGAAGATTTTTTGGGATCAAAAAAAAAAAAAAATATCTCTCCTCTCGATCGTTAATTAGAACATTTTAAAATTTTCGCCAATTTTCCTCCGATCCGATTGATAATTTATCTTGATTGATCTCTGAAAAAGAAAATTAAAACTGTATCGTGAATGATAATAAATAAAACGAAATTTCCCTCGGCTCAACTATCGAACGTTACTCATCGTCCAAAACTGCATCCATTAAGAGATTAAAACGAATCAATCCGTTGTATACCGGGCGAAAATTCCATTACGTATGCCGACATTACGATCCCGCGATGCATCCACGCCGTTCCTTGCATTGTTCGGAAACTGCGGGTGGAAAGGATTAATATAGGCGATGAAGAGCGTAAAGTCAATCGTGTGAAGTCTCGCGTAAAGTGCGCTTCGTTCATGGAAATCGAGGTAGTTTAATCAGAAAACTGCGGGGAGCGGGGCCACGCGTAGTAGTAAGTACCCTCCATCGGTGGAATGTAGGGGCGTTTAAGTAGATGGAGGGTATAGACCCCTGTCTACTCCATTTGCTTCCAGCCCGAGGGACTTCCCCGATATATATCCCAATATTCCTGGTAACAATGATGAATCACTGCAGAGCACCTCTTGCGCAAGAAGTTGCACATCCAATGCGCTCTGCAACGTCTCTTCGTTCCCCCTCTACCTCTGTCTCTTTCCATCCATTCTTCCCATCTCACTTTTTCTCGCCGCGATACTTTCAAATAACTCGGTTTAACCGTAATAATACCGTGTATCCAATGGCGGTTATGTAAAAAGGCTGATGTAACAGTCGGATAAATATAAATGCGTTAATGCTTACTTTGAAAACTTTTCGAGATGCATTAGCTTTCGAAAGTAAGGAAAAAGGGGAACGAGTGCGCGGAGAATGATCCCGAGCAATATCGAGAGATGATTGCGTTTCCCTAAATGTACGTGTTCGAGAATGATACGTGTTTCAAATATTATCATTATTTGAATAATGTTGCTATAGATTTAAAAGATTCGTACATCATTCGATGCATTTCAATAAATGCAGCTGAATAATTTCATTCGATCTATCGAAATCTGAATATCATTCTCGTGATAAACTCGTAATGGACATACGCGTGTCGCTTGTAATATTTGACGAGTTAATTTATAGTTTCGATAACTGTGTATACAAACTTTGTATTGGCGCGACGATCATCCGTAATAACCGAAGCAAAATAACATCTTAATCTATTCGACTCGCCGTATAAAACAGTGTGGACAGGTATATAACTCATGACAAATCGTTCTTCCCTTGTTTGCGAATCATATAATCACGCACACAATCGTTATACCTAATTTCTCCCGTTTATTCCATTCTTTTTATCAATATTTCGTTAAATTTTCGTTTAATAGCCGCAAACAGTTCATCCGAGTACGCGTGTACGCGAGAGAAACAAGAAGAAAAAGCGAAAAAGGAACGCGGCTATTTATTGGTATGATAAATCAACAGTTGAAACGCGTTCACGGCGACCAATTAGCGTTGGATGTTAAGATGGTTGGGTCAGAACCCATGTAATAATGACGAATCAGTTCGGAGCCGGTCTGGTGGCATGGCTGACTACCTCTTATTAATAAATTCGCTTCCCATGCGACGTCCTATGAATCATTCGATAGGCAACAGGGGAGATTCTATTAAACTGATTGGTTTATGCCTCTACAGTTCAACTCGTATCTATTCGTCTTCGTTCTTAGGGCCAATAAACACATTTATACCCAATCCACCTATATTCCTATTACCGATCCTGTGACCGAATATCTAAGGCAACTGGATATTTATTTAAAATATAAGACGTTGATTTATAGTTTATTAGGAAAACAATTTATGTACGCTTGCATTTCTTTTTGATAACGAAAGAAAAGAGACACGAAATTCAAAACATGGAGTATCGATAAACGTAAAAATGTATTTTTCATGGCTCAATAAAAACTGGCAACAAGATAAACTCTTTTTGCCTTTTTCTTTTTTTCTCCTTTCTGTGATCGAATTTCCGTGAAAATTTATATGTATTATTGATAAGATTTATAAGATAATAAGATTAATAAGATAATTGAATTATTATTACGATACATGTTTATAACTGTACATATATATAACGATCGTTCGGAAATTAACTTAAAAAGTATTAAACAAATTTATTGCGAAGCTTAAATTTTACAACGCACCATTTAATCGACCTAATTTCAAATTCGAGTACATTAATTCCGAAAACATTCGCTATTGATAGAACTTTAAGATAAGAAAAGGGAGATAGGGAAAGGGAATAGGAATTCCACAAATTTATTTAACGCTTGTAATATAACTAAAAACGTACCATTCACGTTTGTGATGTATGGAAATAAATAAGATGCATTACGTTAAATTATACACCATTCTGGATAGGATTAACTCCCCTAATTTATTAACTTCGCTTCTAACTAGGGTGGCTCAAATCCTCATGACTTGGAGTTAACGTTGTTTTGCGGGGCAAATCTCATATGGGGATACTACGCTAAATCATCTTGTGGTTAAAGCACAAGTGATATGTACATACCGTATATTTATAATTGTTAGTGACAAGATATTTTATGTATACTTTGTATATACTATCATAGGAAGAATAATGAATAATTGCTGTATCGATGAGAGATAATTGAGAATATGTATATCTTACGACACGACATCTTATATTAATGAACAATATAATATCGAATACGTATATACTAATTGAACACTACGAATAACCTACGATATATTCATTAAAAATATATTATAGTATAATACATATATGTGTAACTTACATACAATGCTGTCGTACCGAAGATAGGAATATCAAGGTTGAAAAGTCAGATCCATTGTGTAGACAACAAGCAATTTATGTATGAATCTCCTCCTTTTCCTAATCCTTTCTTTATTATGAATTTTCCATGAAATTATCTGTCAAAGATAAATTATATAAATTAATGCTTTAAGAAAGAAAACTGATATAATTTGATATAACTTAAATTTATCTTTAATAATATCGATTACAATTATAGGTTATAATTTAAACTCATAAAACGCAGTATAATGAAATTGAAATGACGCATTAATATATAAATGTTTAAATACAAATATATATTATAAATATCAATTAGAAAATTAGTATTTATATAATATTCGTACACTTACATGAAAAAGAAGCAAACAGACTATTTTTTTAGAATTAACTATCATTTATTAACAAAACACAATTAAAATTAAAAACTAAATACTACGAGCAAATATCCGTGCACAATGGCGACTGATTCGTGCAACCGTACAGTACATCTAATGCCATCTATTGAATAATTTTTAAAATTTTTCGTTTCGTAATCTTTTCAAATTAACGATACGAATTATTAAAAGTAATAATATATACAACATAAATATTTCATTAAGATATTATAAAATATTATAGACCTATTAATTACAAAGTATATAAAAATGTTAAAGTTATTATTTACTGCAAATTTCTCTTGTAATTTCTTTTGTATTTTTGAAAGTTTAAAATTTTCTTACTACATTTAATATATTTTCAACATTATCAAAACGAAAGAATTATTAACATTAAATCTAAGTGAAATTGAAATGACACATTGCAATATGTAAATATTTAAATGCAAATATATACTATAAATATCAATCAAAAAATTAATATTTATATGATATTCGTACACTTACATGAAAAAGAAGCAAATAGATGACTTTTTTATTAATTAATTATCATTTATTAACAAAAACACAATTAAAATTAAAAACTGAACACTATGAGCAAATATCCGTGCACAATGGCGACCGTATTTGTGCGACCGTACAGTACACCTGTTGCCATCTATTGGATAATTTCTAAAACTTTTTGTTTCGCATTCTTTTCAAATTCGCGGTACGAATTATTAAACTAATAATACATACAACAAGAAAAATATTTCATTAAAATATTATAAAATATTATATATTAATTATAAAGTAATTAATTATAAAGTATATAAAAAAAAATTAGAGTTATTATTTAATGCAAATTTTTCTTGTATATTTTTGAAAGTTTAAAATTTTCTTACTACATTTAATATATTTTCAACATTATCAAAACGAAAGAATTATTAACATTAAATCTAAGTGAAATTGAAATGACACATTGCAATATGTAAATATTTAAATGCAAATATATACTATAAATATCAATCAAAAAATTAATATTTATATGATATTCGTACACTTACATGAAAAAGAAGCAAATAGATGACTTTTTTATTAATTAATTATCATTTATTAACAAAAACACAATTAAAATTAAAAACTGAACACTATGAGCAAATATCCGTGCACAATGGCGACCGATTCGTGCGACCGTACAGTACACTTTTTGCCATCTATTGGATAATTTCCAAAACTTTTCGTTTCGCATTCTTTTCAAATTCGCGATACGAATTATTAAAACTGATAACACGTACAACAAAATAAATATTTCATTAAGATATTATAAAATATTATATACCTATTAATTACAAAGTATATAAAAAAAAGTTAGAGTTATTATTTAATGCAAATTTCTGTTGTATATTTTTGAAAGTTTAAAATTTTCTTACCATATTTAATATATTTTCAACATTATCAAAACGAAAAAATTATTTGCATTAAAATTAAATCAGATTAAAAATATGATAGAAAATATAAAATTCTGAATTGCATTCATTTAATATATAAAAAATTTATATGAAAAATATTATTGATGAGATATTAAATAAAGTTTTTTTTAATGTTTTTAAATATTTTGTTCATCGAAATTATAATTTCCTTATAATTTTATATCATGTAAAATATTACCAATTTACTAAAATAATATCTACGAAGATAGCAAAATCTCTATTTATCAAAAAATTTATTAATCATAAATTTATTATCAAAAAATTTATTAATCATAAATTTATTAATCATAAATAATATATATATTATGATAAAAAAAAATAAAAAAATAATGAATATGAATATTGTATTTTAAAATGTAATTTTATTCGTATGCAAACAAAAATGATCCATATGTCGTTGGTATCATTTAAAGTATAATAACATACACGCACATTTATATAATTTCACATGTTGTCCATTATAAAAATTGTTATATCATTGCAATAAATAGAATTAAATTTTATTTCTTATTTTTAAATTTTAAAGCAAGCACGCTCTTATATACAAAATATTTTTCATAATATTAATATTAGATATATTCGAAGAGATATGAGTATGAAAATTCAAGAAAAATTTTAAAATATGTAATTTGTTCATTTTCGGGAATATTAAATTCCCACAAAAGTTTCGCTATGCACACTTCTGAGTAAAAATTTCATGACAGTTCCTTAATATGTTGATACCATTAATTATAATTATAATTTTATATCATTATTGATGTGCACAATTCACAAAATAAATACTGAGTTCAATTTTTTACAAAATATATATTAGGATATCGCACTTAAGGTAAAGGTACACGATAAAATGCGTAAAAAATATACAATGAGTTCCTCTATCGAGAGGCACTAACGACAAGGAACACAGAATTGTCGCATATAGATCATACATAATTATTCGTTCATTCGCGTATAGATATCAAATTTTGCATTCAGAAAATTCTTCTTTATCATTTATCACTTGTTAGGCATTTTAATATTAATTTTTGTTAAATAATGAAATCGAGAGAATAAGATATGTGTAAGTATAACGATATTCTCTTTCGTATAAATATAATAATCATATGTCGATTTTTAATACATTTCAACATTTATCTATTAACAAAATTTAATTATATAATATCAGATACATAATTTTTTTAAATATTCGATAAAACATCGAATCATTTATTTCGTTGAATTATTTTTAATACTGATAAATTACACTAAAATTGCACACAAATAATATTTAATAATTTCATTTTTAATGTTATTAAGATAAATATAATATGTGACACATTAAAGATTTTATGATTCTTCATAAAGTTTATGATATTATATAACAAAGTTATGATATTTACATAACATTTGTAGATTCCCTTACATTATCTCAATATAATTCATACAAGCTTACAACACATTTACATACAATACACATACATCCAATTTTTTTAAGCTAATTTAATTATTTCATTCTATAATTATAGAACATGTGATTAAGATATAAAAAAATAAGATTCTAAAAAAAGATTCTATAGCTTGATAATTATGATCATAGCTAAATTTAAAAAAAAATATAGATTATAATACAACATGTACATATTCTTTTGTTCTTTATTAATATAACCATTAAATGGTTGATACATCATTAAATGTTTTTATAGAAAGAGAAACACACACTTATATGTTGTATTATATATTAATTTATGAATAAGAAAAAAAGAAAATGTAACAGAAGATTGTGAAAAATTACAAATACATTAATACGAATATATTCTACATATATTTGACATATATTATAAAATTAATATTATTAATAGATTTTAAAGTATTAATATATGGCATTGATGTCATAGAAAAAATAAAATTTGAGTAAAATCAATATTAAATCATAATTTCTAATAAAAAATAATTAAAATTAAACATTTCTTACTATAGTGTCCTATATATTTTAATAACATTATTTTTTTTGTTATTATATTTCAATAATAGAATTTATCAATTATATTATATAACGTAAATATGCGAACATATTCCTATACATAGAGACAAAAAGCAAATATGTTCATCTATAATTTCATATTATTTTTGAAGCTATAATTTATATTTATTTACAATTGTATTTATTAATGTAAATATCTATTAGGAAAAAGGCTAAATTGTTGAGTAATCAATTAATTCGAATAGTGGATGGAATAAGAGTATTGTCAATTAAAAATTAGATTATCACGGATTTCTAAGAGATTCCGAGTTCGATTCGAGTTACATTTAATTCTCCACTATTCTTTATATTGTTCATTTTTTCTTCTTTTATTCTTATCTTGTTCATTAAAATTTTCTTCAAAAAAAAAAAAAAAAAAAAAAAAAAAAAAAAAAAAAAAAAAAAAAAAAAAAAAACCAAATTCCAATATAATTTTATATTTTACATTGTTATTAACTATTATATATTTTATATGTATATTTATTTAAATTTATTATTATTTATATTAAGGTAATTAGAGCATATAATATTTAATATTTATTAAAGCATTAAGCCATATTATAAGTAAAATTATTGCAATGTGCTTGTATTTGGAAATATTTTTATATATAGTATTCAATTTTTTTTATATAATATTCAACATTGACATTAATTGTATAATATTCTGTATATTTTTTTCAAATTATTATTAGTTTATAAAGATTATAACAAGTGTGAAAATTATTTTTTGAATTATATTTGAATATTTTTGAATATTTAATGAAATAAATATTATACAACAAGCACATAAACTTACAATAGCTAAATTATAAAAATAAATTATAAAAAATATTTATAATAATATATTATATAATATATTTATAATAATATTTATAATAATAAAGCTTAATAATTAGAAAAATTATAATTTCTTGAATTTGAATATATTCCTTTTATGACTAAAAACCATTCAAAGGACAAAATTTTATTTTATATATATTTTTATATAAAAGTTTAACAAATAAAATATTATATGCTAATTAATGGCAAAAGAAATTTATGAATATTTATATCATTTGATAATAATTGATATTAATATTGTAATTTTTAAATATTCTTTGTAATTTATAATTCTTAAATATTCCATTTTTTGTGCATATAATAAAATAATCTTTAAAATATTGCTATATTATTAATTTTTTATACATACATAAATAGATAAAATATAATTTATTATAATAACAAATAATAAAAAAAATATTGCAAATAAGATAATAGTAAATAGATATTATTTAACTTCACAATTAATTTTTGAAATATTATTTATAAGTAAATAACATAATAATAAAGCTTTAACATAATTTTATATTATTTAGTTCATTAGTAAATTAGATACTTCTAGAGATTTTATATTATTTACTTTCAGAAATTTTTGAATTCATCACATAATTTATATCACGAAAAAATTAAATTTCTTCAAAATCATAATCATTTAAATTATTATTATTAATTGAATTGAAATTATTTCATATATAATAAACAAATATTTTATATTGAAAATACATACATATTGTTAAAAGTTTGCAAATTTATTAATATAATTATAAAAGAAATCATATATTTCTCAAAAAATATTTTAATTTTTTTTTTTAATGATTCTATTTGCACTAATCATTTTAAATCATTTTTTAAATCAAAGATGTTGAAGTTAACTGTACTTTTTTTGAATACATATATTATAATGTGGCACATGATATTATTTATTTTATATTTATGTCATATTTTCTTTAATATATTTATTATTAATCTAATAAATATTTGGATATTTTCAAATAAAATTTTACTTGTTTATAATAATATGAGAATTTGATTGGTAAATATATTTAAGCATATAGAGCATTTTTATTCAGAGTATTTTTTTTGAGATATATCATTATATAACATTGCAGTTAAGATAGTAAAAAGATATATCAAAATATGTTAAAATATATTACAATATGTATATATTATAACATATTTTCATTTTAAATTTCTATTTGTAAATCACTATTTGTAAAGTATATTCAATAACGAAATTATGAAAATATTTTTAGATTACAATTATTAAAAAAAAATCAAAAATATATAATTTTAATTC